AATATGAATTATAACTTGAAAAAATTGTGTATTTTAAAGGTAGCTTTTATAACCCTACATTTAGCTGAAAGCTCTTACGTTATGTTAGAACGTTAAGCACGTACTTGACTCTGTAACACTCGTCCTGTTTTAATCATTTAAATTTAATTTATTAAGTTAGTGTTCCCACTCTTAACTCATGACATCGATTTTTATTGTATATTATTATTATGTAGGACAATATAGTTTATAGATAAAACTAAGAGTTTTAAATCATAAAGTTTCGCTATACGAGTAAGTTGCTGGATGATTACAGTTATGTTATAATAAAAATATACTGTAAACAAATTGATAATGTTAATGAGAATAATAAAAAACACATTTAGATTTTTATCTAACCTTTATATTGGCCATTGTGTTGTAACTATGCAATAACTATATGTATACACAAATTGTTCCCGCTGTCTCCGTCACTACTAATTTCTATTTTTTTAAACTACTCGACTGATTTTATGCTCTTCATTTAATACCTAGAGTGATTTAACAGAAAATGTAAGATATGTCTTAACATACCTTGATTTAAGAACTTGTGATGACCTCATTTATCATTTGTCATAAACTTAAGAATAATCAGTGTAGATGTATGGATAATTTTAGATTGATGCGCCGACGCAAATATTATTATGGGCGGTACCTATTCTTTACGTTCAGAAGGAGTTGCGAATTTTTAAAGCTCCGAATGATTCTGATATCTTCGGAAATATCATTCCAATTTATAATAGGATTTTTTTAAATGATCATTAATAAACTGCAGGATTAAAGTTTCTAAGTTTTACATTTAGATTTAAGCCGTGAATCTAAATAAAACATGTATCTTTTGTCTATTTACAAAAAATGCGTTAACATAATATATAACGAAACTTTTTAATAGATTTAGTATCATCATGACACCCGGGCGTAGAAAATTGCTTATTACCTCAGGAAATTAAGAAATTTGAACAAGTGTACCTTTAGTAGAAATTTTTATATAATCTATACAAAGCACTATTAAAATAACTGTCATTTGTCAGATTAATTATATAAACTCAAGCAATATTATATTCGGTTTTATTAGTTGTATTCATTGAAATCAAAATTTCATCATACACAGATTTATGGTCGGCTATAGAAACGAATTATATTCCATAGTAGACGTCTTATTGGAATGATATCTTTGACATGACAAGACAACGTCTGTCAGGTCTGCTAGAATGTAAATAAAAGTCAACAATGAAATTATAGAGCAAACAATCGATCAACGCGTCACGTCATCAAAGGCAGTTAGTTATCAATCAATTAAATGCGTATTCATTTATCCGTCACGCAAATACATCGTTATTAACGTATTAAATACGGATGCATATTTATTTTAACAATTTTCCACATTTTTACATATTAAAAACCAATAGCTTAAGTGTCATACATAATTTTTTGATGAACGAATACTTTCATGTAGTGTTTTGTCGTGTTATGTAGGTACAGGAAATTAGATATGTATATCGTATATCATTACTTAACAAGGAATCACATAATCACAGAACTTAATCTTGTGGAATGCACTAATTATATGTATGTATATATACATGTAATTGTATCTTACCGCACCTATAAAAGTTCATAAACCAAACATTAATATTTTAAACGCTTAACTGAATGATTTAAAACTTTTATATAAGGTCGGCTGAATTCAGTCGTCATACATTCCTTACTTAATACAATAAAGTCTGGTGTATAATTAAGCAATATCGATCTCAATTAAGAATGCAGTAACGGTATTAAAACTGGTAGTGAACGAAAGCCAAATTACCATTTATATCCATTAACTTCACTGCAAAATTCAACTAAGACTGATAATAATAATAAATCTTGCAGTATAACAGCGATATATTCCTATCCAGAATGACCTCGTCCCGACCTCGTCGCTCCCCTTTTAACGTCTTTGACGCTAACCAATAAATATCTAGCTGTTTTATCTCCGTATCGAACAAATACTTTGCTCTGATCATATAATACCCCGAGGAGCCAAAGCACACACTAATGCTTTACCGAAGAACTAGCGGTTGGATTTATTTTATTGAGACACCTACTCTGCAATAAAACAATAAAACTGTGATTGTTTGACTACCTCATGACTTTAGTAACTAACTTGTAACTAAATTCTTGTCCTAAATAACTCTGAAGGCAAGTTACATTTTTATGAATAAAATTATTAACTATTATATAATATTCCTTAAATAGTTTTTAATCAATTTCAGAATATTCTGTAATTATTTCCGTTTTAACACTATAGAAAATTATAGAATTATTTATATTAAGCTGTTTGCGCATTTAACTTAGGTTATACGGGTACTTATTTTTATTTTGTACCCGACGTTGGGTTTACTTCGCAGTATCCACATTTATGGGAAGATGATATAAAAATTTAATATTATTAACTTCGTAGTAAACTACATTACTAATAATTCATGTTATAAATTCTTTAAACAAATCCGTAAAAGTAAAATTACTTACGCCGCTACTATTAACAACATTATTTTATAAACGTTATTTAAACAATTACCATAATCCAGGCTAACTTTTATTTTCATTTATCTTAATCAAATTATTTTAAAAATCATTCAAACATTTTCGTTTGATTTAGTATTATAATGAGGCATGAAAAAAATAAAAGTATTTTTCATCTTCATTCCATTCCTGTAACTGAGATATATGTATAATTTATACCGATAAATCTAAACTTGTTGCCGTGAATAAAAAGTTAAATCATGCATATAAATAAATAATTAAAAAAATATTTCAATATCTTTAGCATAAGAAGAAAAATAAACTGCAAAATTCTACTAAACTAGAGGTCTATTTACCATTGTTGATATATTATGTCGATTTAAAACATACCACAGTGAACTTGTTTTAAATTGTAAATACAACATTAAGATAGCAAAGAATTGTAATAGATTTCATCAAAACGGCAACTTCTCACGATAATAATACAAAAATAATTGTAAAGGCAAAGCCTAATTGTTTTAAATGCAAATTTTATCCCTACTAATATTATAAATGCGAAAATAACTCTGTCTGTCTGTCTATCTATTACGCTTTCACGCCTAAACCACTGAACTGATTTTAATGAAATTTGGTACGGAGATAGAGTTGACCTTAAGAAAGAACATAGAATAGTTTTTATTCCAGACTTCTGAAAGGTTCTCTTGGAAACGCGATATAACCGAACTCCACGCGGGCGAAGCTGCGGGAGGGAAGCTAGTTATTTATAATTCTACTTTAAAATCTAAAATATCTATTTCATGTTATGTTAAAATCAATTTATTGAAAGCACCATTTAACGTATTTATAACATAAAATTAATATGAATGTTTGACCACGGTGTTTAGGTATGATAATTTAATAAAAAGTAATTGTATTTTCTTAAAGTCTTTTTATGCCAGATAAATTATATAAATTATGTTCAAGGAAATCTTTGCTGAAATGGTTATCGACTTTCTAAGGTCCTATTTAAGAAATATCCACTATTTAATATTAACTAAAAGAACATTTCTTACAAGTTTAACTGTTAATACTTAAATTAATTACTGCATATGGAATATATTTTATCTTCAACAGTCGCTTAAGCGTCAAGAAAAAGAAAGAAAAACAATATAACGTCAATAAAAAAAAAGAATATATGTATGTAACCAACAAATGTTAAAAATAATTCTTTATATTATGGTGATTTATATAAGTAAAATTCTAATATCTTTATATTCTTTTTAATATTCTGTATTCTATTAAACCGGGTGAGTTTCATTGAACCGTGTTAATAATAGTGTAATAACATATAGACCCCCACAAGTAAAAGCAATCTTCATTAAGCTATACCTCATTAATATAAGTTATCTACCCTCACTTAAGGTGTCACTATTTAGGAAACAAGTTAATTCATATTTTTTTATCAATGAAAATATATTGTATGTAATAGAATTAAAATCTTACGAAAATATACATATGTGTATATTTAATTATTTAAAATTTTCAAAGTCTTCCATGTATTTTTCGCTTTGAGACGTAGCGACGTTTCGACGAAAAGTCTCATTTTATTTTAATATGCCAAGATAAAAACAAAATTGAGTAAAAATGATTATTCCGTATTAAATATATTGTGTGTGCTATTTGAACAAATATGGAAATTATAGGGCATATTTGTTTCTGTGCAAATTACTGCATATTAATGAAGCACCTCTATTTGCGAGTCTGTAACTATGTTATAATATTTAATGATTTATTAGTCTTTGTGATTGATATTCATCATTGCATTGACCTAATTTGGTTTAGGTGTTAGGTTAAGAGTATATATTAAAAAAAAGTAAAGGTTAAAAAATACTGGGATAACCCAGTATTCTTAGAAGAAATTCATAAGAACTTCTTAAAAAAGCACTATTCTTTGATAACACTTTGCTGAAAGTACGGTTTTCCAGCAAAGAGTCACATAGTATATATACACAAAAATTTTTAACTATAACAATAATTATTTTTTTGACTAATTTTCTTTTCAAAATCGAATAAAATGAACAAATCCTCTAGTACCTAGTTATTTTCTAATTTTTATAAATCGCATCTTTGCTGAAATAAAAATATATCCTTTAGGTAAAATTAAACAACAAAGTGAAAGTTCCGTGTTTTTTAAAAATATTTTTTTCTTTTTTGAGAAATACTTCAAACAAAAGAAATCTCCTTCTATAGTATCACGGTAATTTTAAACTACGACCTGAAAATTTAACTGATCCTTAAAATCAAAATTCTCTCACGCAATATAATGTGTTCGATAATAAAACGTTTTCAACAATTTCCGATAATTTATTTAAGTATTGTCTGAAGTCAACAAACAGTGCTTCATATTTCTGTACACTTATATAAAAATATATACACAAGTCCTTATAGCTATAGTATATTAGCCGGTATATAATATTAGTATATACATGCTGATTTTTTTATTTAATGTATGGCATATTTGGCAGGGCATCCTGACGTCTCCTGTGATGGCTTCCGTGATGTCGCAGATGTATCACGGTCTCTCTCATTTTTTGTTCTCTCAACGCTCTTATGTGATTCTCATCTACAGCGTGTTTATTTTTTCCCGCTCGTACTGCCTTCACATCTCTGTCACTGTCCTTAAACAAAACACACCACAGCGACTTATCTTTATTATCCCACAACAAGGACTTAGTGTATTCCTTCAATCTTCTACTATTCTCCTCAACGCGCCGCATAGCTATCTCTATTTTAATCAAGTCTTTGTAATGGTCCGTTTCTGTGTGTGACGCAGACGCGTTATTGCTTTCCTGAGCTCGTACGCTTATATTAATTCTCGACAAGTAATAATTCTCATATTGGCTAGCGGAGTCTTTGGTTCGCAGTAACCACACAACACTTGCGATAAAGGAACACGAGACAACAAATGTTAATATTAATAAAGTCAGTCTCAATACTGCACTAGGGGACGCACAACTCATATCACTTTTTGTTTATGTTTGTCTACGTATACTGTAGAAATGTACATAACGCGTCGGCGTAGCGGTGAGGCTACGAGGCTACGAACGTCCGCTCGCTACGTAGTATCGCTACGAACTGACGGATTCCGTATGTACGATGTTCAGCGCAGTCAATGTTTATCCGTTGTAATTTGCAGTTCAAAGCTGTACCAGAGTTTGCAAATGCTCTCATGTCTTTGTTTCCTCAATGCGTAACTATAGTTACTATTCCCTGAATTAATCTGTTACGGTTAAATTGTAACAATGAAAACAATGTATTATATTTTATATTCAATTTAAAACATGGACCCTATGCATGAAAATACTCATATTTTTTGTTGTGATATTAAAATATGTTTTTATTAAGGAAAATAGGTTGATGTTAAGCGTTATTTCGTGATGTGACTGGAAAAGCGTGGACGATAACGATCTCGTCACCGCTGCAATTATATGGGTAACGCTTTGTGTCAAAAGAAAAAGCTACACTTAACTAAATTACGAAGTAAATATTCCCTTTGTATTAGGTAGAGTTGACGAACATTTTTACGAATTTTACTTATTTCATTCTTCAATTTACATAATTGCCCCGCTTCTCTCTCGACAAAGCGGAAAAAGTTGGCTTGGAATAAAAATAAATCAGTAATAAAGATAAATTAGAAATAAATAATGAGATAGGATAAGAATGTATTTTTTTGTTTTTCATTTATTATTCTAACTAAATTAAATCATTCTAATTCGGGTGCGTTTAACATTTTGACGTTAATAAAATCTTATTAAAATCTAACCGAGAAGTTAATATCCTGATTTTTTTATTGTTTGAAAATTCAATATATTTTATAGGTAAGTATACTAATAAGTAAGTAAGTAGTGATATAATTAATAGCCTAAAATAAATATTTATTTAGTCTTAATGTTTTGAGTATTATTGCATTTATGAAGAAGAGCTACAAGTATAATAAATATAATTTAAATTTATTCAAATCTGTTTAACACAAATCTAAACTTAAAAATAACAAACAATTTGAAAGTATAACGTATATAGGTAAATGTATGTATATACACTTAGTTCTTATTATAGGTAGTATTTATATTACATTGCTTCATCGTTTCATCATTTCTTTTTGTTTTCATACTATGGTGAAATTTCATAAAATCAAAAGCAGACCCCTCTTAAATTGTTTAAAATAATGTTTATATCCAGAGGAAGTCTGCCAACACAGATTATATCGTCCGACAGCGTTATAGCCTTAGCAATTTATGACAAAGCCGCTCATGAGATTTCCTAGTTACGCTATTTTTGATCATAAATTTATATTCGCGTCGTCATCGCTACAGCTAGCAGATGTGAATGAAAATAACGTCTTTTTTAACATCGTTATATGCTATAGAAACTATATATTCTAATTGAAAACATTTTTTATTTAATTAGGAGTCAAGAAAAATTTAATGACAATAAATGATAATACAATTTGTAGGTCACGCAATAACAATTTAATTACACTAATGAAAAGAATTAATAAAATTATATTTTAAGTAAATTCGTAATATGATAATATACTTTAAAGTGGAAGTAATATAACGATTATCCCTTTTCTTGACTAAACACCACGAGAAAAACTGGTGGGTTTGATTTTAATAGGCATCTATTCAGTCCGCTTCGTATATCAACAACTATTCCTAGTACTTCCACAGTTATGTGTTTTCGTTATTCATTCTTATTTTTCGGGGGTTATTCATACAGAAAACAACAAATGATTTCAAATCAAAGCGAACAGTAAAATCCGATGACAATTGAATTTACTGTTGATGAATATGCAAAACTGGACATTGTTCTTCATCCGATCCCTTACTCCATTACGGCCTCATTGTTTCACAAAACTGATTGTATAATCATTTTAGCTTGATTAAACCCATTGTTATAAAATAAACATATAAATTAGGTTGCCTGTTATTACTTATATGTATACATTGATAATTTTTATCCCCATACAACACTACCCGTATTGATTTATCGCTAGAGATATACTTTTAGCGTTTAAATGAAGCTAACTATTGTTTTAAAATGTGCCATCCTAAGGACTGAACCTATAAACAAATTCTATCTAATATCTAATAATATCTATAAAACAAAAACAATTATCTTTTTTTTAATGACAAAGGGGGCTAACGTGCAGTCGGCCTACCTCACGGAGGTTGTATCGTCGCCTATGGATATCCGCAAAAGTTTTAGTTTCTTATTTTCAAATCATTGACGCTGGGATAAAATTTTTACTTTCATGACTTTCTATATTTTCTGTCGAAAATAAAAACGTATATTCCCAATGTAATATCACAATCATTTCATATGAATAGCAAGTTTTTTGAATAATGCAAATTTTAAATAAAAAGAAAGATATTTTTTTCATATATATATTTAATATAAATTAATATTACAGTTGCCTTCTTAGACCTTGACCTATCTATTTCTAAACCATACACGTTTAAGCTGCGTCATTCTTTTGTCTATCTGATTATAACACTTATGCCATTTATATTATAATAGCGAATATGTGTGCTTTTAAAACATACTAAAATTTTATACGTAATCTTAATTGCTAAAGAAATAAACACTTTTACAAAAAAAACGTGTTTTTATTAATAAATTTTAATATTGTTAGTAGTAATTTTCACATTTCATAATCCTCTTTGTTATGCCTGACCGCTGAGACAAGTCGATCAAGAAATTATAAACTACATAAAATATACCGCTTATTTTGTTTTTCTTTTGGAGAAAGATCTAAACGAAAATCATATAAAGATTCCTCTGTTGAACACGTACAAGTAAAATGGGAGAATCCACAATCTACCAGTATAGAGTGTTACAAGAAGAAGTCTAAGTTATCTTCAAAAGGTCTATGCTTGGAATTTACATATAAAAGCAAAAGAGTTGTGTCCATTACCGAAGACTAGTATTTTTTTTATTTTTTATAGAATTAATTGAGTTTTGTAAGGCTCGTGAGGAACCAGTACTCGTTACAGTTGGCTAAAATAATTGGTCACTGTAGTATGAACTTAGATAAGCTCATATTCTGCTTCAAAAGCTCGCAAAGTACCGCACCGTAAAACAGTGCATAGTACGTTGACTGAATCTATAGTAGGGGTACTTAAATTAAAGGACAAAAAAGCTAAGAAAATAGGCCTTCTTCTCGAAAAACAAAAATAAAAAATTGTGAACAACAAAAAAAAGTTTGGTATGAAATAAAACTGAAAAAACTCAATTTTATATGATTCACCCATTATATGTACTGAAGGTTATATTATAGTAGTAAAACGCCGTACATTTGAGAAAGCAGTGAATAAATAACAATATATTTATAAAAAAACAATAATTCTTTAAAATGTAAAGTACAAACTCAACTGCTAATGTATTTTTGCAGTAGAACACTGTTTACAAGCATTATTTTTAATTATTTTATGTGACTTTGAAAGTTCTAAAAACTTAATTATTATTGAAGAACTATGTTGTTATGTTCTTACATTTCAATAAGATAATTATATTTATATCATCGTCAAAAAATCCGGAAATTTGTGAAACAGACACTTATTATAACTCCGATATTATGGTGAGGTCACAAAATAAGAACGAAAAAATTACGGAGTTTCAATCAATCGAAAATTATAGCAGTTGAAATTATTTATTTATCATTCACTTAAACTTCATCCTCGAAAGGTAAATCTAAAAGTATAGAATGGTTGGTGCATCCACCTACTCCAGGATTCAGGTTTGTGTCCATTCAAGAGCATCGTGTGAGAATTATTGATAGTTCTGTAGTCCCAACCCAATTCAAGGATCATCATCATCATCAATCATGTTTCCTTTAAAAATTAAAATAAGAAGTTTATATATTTTTTTTAGTCTCAAATACGTAATTCATTTCCTTCCTTTGATTAGAAGTTTTTTATTCATTTTCTATTTACCGAACGAAAATACAATTTACGGATCACGGTTTGAAATTAAAAAAGTTTTTTGTTATTTATATGAAACGTTCACGATGCCGCGAGCTTAAGCATTCATTAAACATTATTTTTGGACGAAAAAAAAAAATTGAGCATCTTCTGAATAAATATTATGAAAGCTATCGTGAATCATGGCGAATAATAATTTGGTGGGATATAAATTGCTGGAAAAAACGAAATAACGGAGTTTTAATAAAGTCTGGCTTAATTTACAGTATCGGCATCATTGTCTTTGAAGATATGAATTACTGAATATTTAAACAGACCTACCGACTTCGCGTTTAAAAGTGATATTATTTTTACATAACAAAAAAACTTTAAGCATTTTTCTTACGCTTTTGTTACTGTAATATAAGAATTACACGTTTAGTACTAGCAAAACATTCATTAGTCGAAATTTCTAGAAGGAACTTTTATAAATCCTAAGTGAAGGGAAAATTATAATCATTTAAACATCTATCTGGATACATCAGCACTTTTTTGTTATTTAGTTGCGTTGGAGTTGCTATTTTAATTATATAAAATATTCCTTCTTCCTGTTCACAATAAAGCTATTTCATTCCACTCGTATTTCTTTAAGACTGCATTAAAAACTCAGTAATCAACTATTATTTCTGTGAAAACATAGTTTTATCTCAACTTATATTTTAGTAGTAAGAAAACCATAATATATAGCATTAAAATTAATGATATAATAGATTTCTGTTTATAAATTAATGGCACAAAAATTTACGTGTTAAGTGCGCGCAACATATTAAGATATAAATAAACGTCATCGGGTCAATATTGTTGTTTAGATAAAATATAATATTACGAGTAACGTTGCTGACTTCGCGAAACGAACACCAGGCGTTGTAAACCAAAAGATGCCTGATACCAAACAAGCAATGGAATGGGTTTGCTATCCCAACATCGGGACAATCATGTAGTCTTAGGTATACGTTATAATTTTTATGTGTAATTCTCATTATAATGTTCATATAAGT